TTGGTAGATTTAACATGGGCAAATATGCCCTGTCCTTCATGAAAATTTCATGATTTTCTTTGTTCCTTACAGCCTTCTACTTATAGCCATACCTGAAAGGGAAATATTCATAAGCAATATAACTGACCTGGGGCAGCCACACTAGGTCAGTCTCAAGGGTGAGATCTTGACTCAAGTATGGCTTTAAGAAGAATCAGATATTATGAACACCATATAAGGTTAGGGAATAAAGCCTAACATAAGTTACTACTCAAAATATGGGTAGGTAAAATTCAAATCTCCTAAGCCCATGAGAATAGCTGTTCCCTTCTCCAAATCTAATTGTTTCACAGTCATTGTTGCCTTTTGTCAATCTGGAAGGTGGCTGGTCGCACACTTTATAGGACAAAAGCACCGATGTGGATCACTGCCATATAGGATTTGGCCTTTGGCCTTAGAGATCCAAAAAGAGAACCCCATCTCCCAGAACTGATCAGGGTTTAGAGGACAGACAACTCAGCTGGGTCTTTCTCTCGTGTCTCTAGCGCCATCTACTGGGAAGCAAGTGGCCTTCATTCGAATACCTTCAGTTCAGAGTCAGAAACCTAGCCCGGGTAGCAAAGAGGAGAAAAGGGGAGGAAGGAGAAGCCAGAGCAGATTCTAACAAAAAAGATTAGGTGCATTATACTGAAGCCACTGATATACAGTGTACAGTTGAAACCACAAAACAAAAATAAAAACCTTCTAAGTTATCAGAAACACAGATACAAGTAAACACAGACCATATAACAAGCTTTTAAAGCAACAACTGGAAATCATAAACACAGGAAGCATACTATACAGTAAGACAAAACTAAGAACACTTAGAACAAATGTATGTTGTGTTAATTCCACTAAATGCCCCTATTAAACAGGATCATGGATTGAATCCCAAAACAAAACCCAATAGAATGCTGTATACAAACCAAGTGAAGGCTGAAAATAAAATATGAAAGTAAACCAGGCAAATGAAAGTCAGAATAGTGTGTATGTATACATGTATGTATGTATGTATTGCAGTGCTGGGGATCAAATCCAGGGCATGGGAAAGGCTGTGGTTTTGATTCCCAGCACCACTAAAAAAAAAAAATATTGGGCTGGGGTTGTGGCTCAGTGACGGAGTGCTTGCCTCGAATATGTGAGGCACTGGGTTCGATCCTCAGCACCACATAAAAATAAATAAACATATGTAATGTTTTGAACAGCCAACAATAAAAAAAATTTAAAAAATAAATAAATAAATAAATAAACAAAATAAAGATATTGTGCCCATGTATAACTGAAAAAAATATTTTTTTACAAAATTGATAAAGTATTAGCTAACCTATTCAACATACAAAACAAGAAATGAATATAGGAAAATTACTACAGATGAGATTAAAAGAACCATAAATTATTACTATGCTAAACTCTTTATGAATAAGTATCAGAGTAATATAGATGAAATAGGATACTTTTCTAGGAAAATCAAATTTGCAGTTGTGGCCCCTGAAAAGAAATATTAAGTAGACAAATTATGATAGCAAAAATAGAGAAAAATATGGGTACATAGTTATCTAATAAAATAGATATAAAATAATCGGAATAACTTTAGAAACAACCTCTAAAATATATTGAATTAAAAGATCAAGGTGGAAATGGGCTACCAGGTGTGTCAGTGTGTGTGTGTGTGTGTGTCTGTGTGCACTAAAATATCTTGTTTTGGATATCTTTTTTTTTCTTTTCCAAACATTGCTGGACCTTTATTTTATTCATTTATTTATATGTGGTGCTGAGAATCGAACCCAGTGCCTCACACATGCTAGGCAAGCGCTCTACCACTGACTACAACCCCAGCCCCTTGTTTTGGATATCTTGTTTGGATATCTTGTTTTCTGGAAGGGTGCATAAAAAACAGTAACAGTAATTGCTTCTGTGGAAGGAGTGGGATATGTGGGAAATAAAGATGAGAATTCTTTCATTATATAATATTTTATGTCTGTATCTTTTACATTTGTCACCATTTAAGTTGATCACACATGTAAATATTACTTATTCAATTTTTTTTTTTTTTGTAAAAGAAGAATCTAGGCAAGGAAATAGATGCTTTTTACGTTTCCCCAAATAATTCTATATTCCTTACTTTTTTCCTGAAGCTGATTGTGATAGAAAAGATTATTTTATATGCTTCCCAAATTCACTTGGTTGAACAGTGGATACCCATATGCCACGGTGTATCACCTGAGCATCAGTGTCTCACTCAGGTGCTTGGTACCCTGGGCACTCCCAAAGCTGTGAACTGCAAGACTCCAATCGTCACACACCAGAAAGCTTGTATCTCTGAGTTGAAGTATGTCTTCTTTTGCTCAAACATTAGTGTTTCCTCACAGCAATTAGGAATCTTCAAACCCAGAATCAAAAGCTAAGTCTAATTTTACTTACTTAATTAATGAAGAGTAAGGTACAAGCTCCTGATTTTTCTAGGCCTTCTAAGATTATGGCCTCACTTTGCATGCTAAATCTTTCTCCTAAATATAGTAGGCACCAAGTTCCTAAAGTATCCCCATCTGAACACATGAAAGGAAAAAGTAATCCTCACCCCAAAAGATTATATCAATCACCTAATGTCTGTACTTACCTTTAATGTATATAATACAAGTCTGGGACAATAAAATTTTAAAAAGGACTAAACTGCATCATTGTTTAAGGATCAGAAATGGAGCCCCTTTCTTTTCTCCTCTTCAAGAATGGCTAGAGTACCAGGCGTAGTGACGCATGCCCATAATCTCAGTGGCTCCAGAGGCTGAGGCAGGAGAATCTTAAGTTCAAAGGCAGCCTCAGCACTTACTGAACAACTTGATGAGACCCTGTCTTAAAATAAAATATAGAGAGGACTAGTGATGTAGCTCAGTGGTTTAGTGCCCCTGGGATCAATCCCGGTACCACCCCCCCAGACACACACACCCACACACACAAAAATGTCTGGAGTGTTTGGCTGGCTGAAGAGAAATTAGGGATTCTTTGTGCTTGATGCGATATTCTAGGACCTAACCGTGGGCTACTCCAGGGTGGGCTATGATTTTATGGGACAAGGTGGACCTCTGCTGTCATTTTTGTCCTGGGTTTTTTCCCCTACACTATTCAGAGCCTGCCATAAATATACACATATGTATACCTGGACATAAAAAAATGTGTTTAGTATATTGAGTGTCCTACAAAAATTCTCTCTGAAATAAAGAATTCTGCAGGAAGAGAGGGTGGGTAGTTGAAAGTCAGTGGTCCAATTTCATTGCATTGATGAAATGCCCAGGCTCAGGGCTGTTTGAGATGGCTCAGTCTCGCATCTGGGGAGAACCAAAAGTTAGAAAAGGGGGCTGGGGATATAACTCAGTTGGTAGAGTGCTTGCTTTGCATGCACAAGGCCCTGGGTTCCAATCCCCAGCGCCACAAAAAAAATTTTTAAGAAGTTAGGAAAAGATTGACAGGTTAAAAAGTAAAATGTATTTTCAGAAGAATGTACAAACCCATACTGCTGTTTTGGCAAACGTGTATAGAGGACTTTGTGTTGAGAAATTATCTCTCCCTTGAATCTCCCATTGAAATGACTTAAGATAATCCCACTTTCTCTTTCTTTCCTCAAATCCCTGATTACTTGTTTAGTGCTTTTAGTAGGATGGAAGATATGACAAACAACTTTTACATATTATCAATTCTAAGATGTCATTGTTTATAAAGTTGCCATTATTTTATGTATCATAAAGAAAGAAAATCTCTGCCTTAAACCTGGGCATGACTGAAAATTTTAAAATATGAATGTAAGAGTCTTAAATTGAGGAACTGTGTTGTATCAACATCTAGGTTGTTGATAATGATATCAGGTTGTATGAGTCTCAGTTTCCTTATCTGTTACATGAGCAGTTTAGACCAAATGAGCTGAGAACCTACAGGTTCCAATGCTATTGAGCTGTGGAACACCATGAAGGGGTGTTCTGGGCATTGGTCATGTGACAATCACCAAAACTGGAGTCCTGTCCCAGTCCCTTCTATGCTTTGCGCTTTAAGAGTTGAAGATCCCTACATAGCAGTATCCTCCTCAGGACTGTCCACCCACTCACATCATTGTGAAGAGGCTCCAGGATGGCCCACCTTCATAAAAAAAACTCCAGTGCTCTGACAGTTGGAGGAACCTGGCTCACACACACTGAGGCAGTGCTTGCCAGACTGACTGCCCCAGGAATCACTCCTGGAGAAAAGCTTCCATCAAAGTACTGAATTTAAATTGGCAGATGATAGAGTGGTCATACATCCCAGTTTGCCTTGGACTATCCTACTTGATCCATTTGCTCCAGGTTTATTAACATCTTCTGATACAGTTTAGAGTGTCTATAGACTGATCAGGGAGGTGATTTGGACAAGGTAATTGCCAGTGTCCCTTTAACCAATAATGGCCCCAAATGGTTTGAAAATCACTATTGCAGGATTTTTTTAGTGTCTGGTCTGCCCTGCCAGGTGCTAATGCTTGGTTAGGAGACTGGAGATATGTTAGCAGTAAAGTAACATCATCTGGAGGTGTAGCTCAGTGGTACAGTGCTTGCTAGCCCTGTATTTGATCTCTAGTACCACACAAAAAGGAAGGAAAGGGAAAAGAAAAAGGAAAAAAGAGAAGAGAGAGAAGGAAGAAAAAAGAATCAATGAGGTGATTGGGTGAAAGGTTAACACAGCCATCACCTTTATGTAACTTAACCTTTCATGGAAATTAACGTGTTTCCTTATTTCTTGTACATTTCATACTTGAATGACTCTGAATATTGTATCTATTGCATTTTATAATCAATAGCATATTCTAATCAAGGAAATCGAATAATTGATTCTACTTGGGATCTGGGCTTTCATCTCTTTTTTGAATTGAAATGAAGCCTGAGAGGGTAGAACCAGTGGGTCTTTTGGGTGCTGTATATAAAGCTTGATCTGAGCATTAATCACCTTTGTTCTCTTTCTACCAGGAGATGTTGCTCCAGTGCAAGGAACTGCATTCGACCTAAGAAAGCCAGTGCAGCTTGGAAAACACCTGCGAGAGTTCCGCCTCGGTGGTTTTGACCATAATTTCTGTCTGAAGAACTCTAAAGAAAAGCATTTCTGTGCAAGGTCAGGTCCTTTTCACTTCCTGCCTCTGAGGGAAGAAGAGACACCAATTCTTTGAGGAGCCTTTTGCCTGACCATATTGGTAGCATTTACAACATGACAGAGGACCAAATACCACATCCCCCATCTTTTCAAAGCTCCCATGAATTTGGTAGAATTCATCCTCCCTGGCCTGCCATCATCCCTGTATCCCCTACTTGGGTGGCATCTCATCTCTCCCCTTCTCTGCCTGTTCTTTAAGGCCCATTTTCTGTTAGAAGCCCTAATGCTTCCTGATTGAAGTCCCCATTGCCTTCCTTGACCTTCCAGAGCCCTTTGTACTTTATCATCTGTGACTCATGTCCTGCCCACCCCTGTGTATACTTGGAGGCTCCCCTTCTCTCACAGCTCTTACCACCTCAGTCTCCAATCTACTGAGATGCCTGTGTGCATGCTCTTTCCTTCTCACTGAATTCCAAGTTCCTTGTACCATTTCACTGGCAATAATCAATACAAGTTTGTAGAATCAATGGATTTTAAAGAAATCAGAGAAAATGATTCAAATTCTATAATACAGACAGAAAGAACTATACAAATCTTCTCCACCTCCAAGCCCCAGCACCAAGGCCCCCTGTGTTCTATCTGTTTGAACCACCTTCTTCCTGGGTATGTCTCTCCTCACTGCCCCCACCCAAAGAACCCCCTGCCTTCTCCCTGTTGATTCAAATCTTGCCCCCCTTTTTCCCAAACATGTTTCCCTGAGCCTCTTGTTTGACAGCATGTTGTGTGGATGTCTTAACTATTTCATGCATGTATTGTGCCTTAAGACCCAAGCTTTTATCTATAATCCATCAACAGCAAGTATAGAACCAGAAAGGAGCTCACCCCTATAGAGGCCTGGTTGTTGTTTATAAAGGACACAGTTTATCAGAAGAAACCCACAGCCCCTAACAAAACTGTTACAGAAGAGACCTAAAACCAGCCTGCTCCAGCCCCTAGGAAGGGAATAGTTTAATTCATAAAAACATCTCTTCTCTTTTATAAAAGACACGGCTGGTTGTCTCTCCAGGCCAAGCAGAGAGCCTGATTCCGTGAAAAAGAATCTCAGCCTTACGTGCTGGGGATATAGTTCAGTGGGAGAGCACTTGTCCAACATGCATGAGGTCCTAGGTCTTGCCCCTTCTGGAGCCCTTACTGCTTCTTTCCAGCCTGGTTCCTCTTTTTCCACCCTACCTCAGTTGGCTGGGGTCAATCCGTTTTGCCATTCCCCAAAGAACTCAAGATCAGAGTGAAAAGTTGCCATGGAGGATCCTTGAAACCACCTTCTCATGCCCCACCTAGGAGGCTGTAAGAATTTCCATCATATTCTTCCTTCCTACCTCTCTCTCCTCCATACATCTTGCCCCTCTCTGTGGCTGGGTCTGATTCCTGTCCTAAAGAGGATTCCATTTCTACCCCTCTCTGTCTGCTTTTCTGCTCTGGACTCACATGTGGCTTGTCTTTATCCCCAGGGTGTATCATGCTGGAAGCGGGAGGGTACTAGAAGTATACACCACCCAGCCTGGTGTCCAGTTTTACACGGGCAACTTCCTGAATGGCACGCTGAAGGGCAAGAGTGGAGCCATCTATCCTAAGCACTCTGGCTTCTGCCTTGAGACCCAGAATTGGCCTGATGCAATCAACCAGGTAAAGCCCCAGGCTGCCTTGATAGAGTGGTATTGAGTCCAAGGTCACAGCCCTCAAATCAAGCTGTATGATTCAAAAGTCCATGTTTGTTTTCTTCTCCATCATTCCAAACAGAAAACCCAAAGCAAAGCTACTGATGTGGCATTTACATTTTAAAAAGCTTAAACTTTTTATCTTTGAAACTTTTATCCAGTACAATGTTTCTTTTTTTATTAAATATTTTTTTAGTAGTAGATGGACATGATCTCTTTATTTTTATGTGGTGCTGAGGATCGAACCCAGTGCCTCATATGTGCAAGGCGAGTGCTCTGCCACTGAGCCACAACCTCAGCGCCCCCGTATAATGTTTCTTTGTCAATAACCACACGTTCTGCAACCACACTTTTAAGCAGAGCCTTCTTTTCATCCTATTAGATTCTTTATAACTTTTTTTTCTATCTCTTGAAGCAGTTGTCCTCAAAATGCCAGCCTATAATAAGGAGCTTTCACCTTGCATCAGAATATAAACTTTTTTTTTTTTTTTTTTTGGTATCAGGGATTGAGCTCAGGGGCGCTTAAAAACTAAGCCACATCCCATATCAGGGGTGCTTAAATACTAAGCCCCATCCCAACCCTTTTTTGTAGTTTACTTAGAGATAGCATCTCACTGAGTTGTTTAGGGCCTCGCTAAGTTGCAGGGGATGGCTCTGAACTCATGATCTCCTGTTTCAGCCTCCCATGCCACTGGGATTACAGGAGGTGCCACCCTGCCTGGCTATAAACTGTTTTAGTCAGCTTTTTTTGTTGTTTTTGCTGTGACTAAAAGAATCAGACCAGAACAACTGTAGAGGAGGAAAAGTTTATTTAGGGTCTCATGGTTTCAGAGGCCTCAATCCATAGACATCAGGCTCCATTCCTTGGCTCAAGGTGAGGTAGGATATCATGGTGGAAGAGCGTGGCAGATCAGGAAGCAGAGAGAAAGAGCTCCACTTGCCAAATACAAATATATACCACCCCAAAGCCATATCCCCAATTCCCACCTCCTCCAGCCACACCCTACCACTTCAGTTGCCACTCAGTTAATCCTTATCAGGGGATTAATTTACTGATTGGATTAAGACTCTCACAACCCAATCATTTCTCCTCTGAACCTTCTTGCATTATCACACATGAGCTTTGGGGAACACGTTGCATCCAAACCGTAACATAAACCAACTACTTCCTCCAGCAAGAAACTCTTGCTTTGAAAAATTGTGCTTGGTGATTTAGATTTTCATTCTGGTTCAGAATGGTTCTTTACCTCATCGCAAACCAATACTACTGTTTCCACACTGGCACTGACCCACGGAGCCCTGGTCTAGAAGCACACCCTGGATAGCTAATGGCACAACCCTGGCTAGTGAGGTGTAACTGTGTTGTCTTCCCTTCACAGCCCCACTTCCCTCCTGTGCTGCTGAGTCCTGGGGAGAAGTACAACCATACCACCTGGTTCAAGTTCTCTGTGGCTTGAGGAAGTGTGAAGATACATCCTAGTCCATGGCCAGGCCTGGGCCCCCTCAGCAGCCTGTCTCCTGTCCAGAAACAAGGTGAAGATTTAGAGGATTTAAAAGTGATCATGTGCTAAATCATACAAATGGTAGCTGTCACAATAATTGGTCTGAATATTGATTTCTTTTTCCAGTGACTGGCTCTGGACCATGTCTAATGACAAGCTTTGTTCTCTGAGCAGTTCAAAGGGCAAGTGAACCCAACCATCAATGTCATCATCTAAGGCCTGAACTTAGCCCAGAAGTGGTGTCCAGGGACTCTTATACACTGTTGTAGGTTCCATCTCTCATCTTTGTTTCTGTGATGTTGCTCTCATTGCTTTTCTGTCTCCTCCTCCTCCTTTACATCAAATCGCTTTACTCTTGGGTAGCACTCTGCAGTTTTCCAAGGTCATATGAGCTGGTTCACCATGCCAGCAGATGGAGCCTCTGTAGCAGGTAATTGACAAGTGAGGGAGCTGAGGCGCAGAGGTTGAGTGACCCACCGCAAGCTGGTAAAAAGTTTAAGTAGGACTTGAGTTTAGGTCATGCAAATTAAAGTCCCCTTCTTTACCTATCCCAGTCTGCCAGAGCATTCCAGGAGTCAATGAAGCGTTAAAAAGGGATCTGGTCCCTGCTCTGTTAGGAGCCAGCCTTTCTTCTCAGATTCCCTTTTGTAAGAAGCCATTCAAATACCCATAAAGAATCCATCATTTAGATTCCCTGCCTTTGGAGTTAACATTTATACTGGAAGCAGTGTTGTGTTTATGGAGATGAGGCTGGAGATTCTTTTCCTTAATAATCAAATCATTAATGACGGGTGTGGGCTGGTGCTTTTTAAAGAAATATATTTTATACTATTTTTTACTATAATCAGTTGAAATAAAGTCATCCCCAGAAGACTCCAGTTCTTTCATTCTTCTTTGTCAGGCATGGACGTTGGGGAGTGGAACAAGTATATGGTGTGTGTTCTGGATTCTATGTTCTCCAATAGGCGCCCCAGCATTTTCCCAGAGAAAGATGGCAAACTGTTGAGCTTTCCATACCTCCTCTTTCTCTGAAACCAATAATAAATCAAAGATACAATTTTTAAATTCATTTCAGCATGGATGTTCTGAATACATACTCTGTATGCTAGGTCTTTTAAAGCATTCATGATGCCTGACATGCATGAGGCACTAGGTTCGATTCTCAGCACCACATATTAATAAATAAATACATAAATAAAGGTCTATCAACAACTCAAATATATATACTTAAAATATATATATATATATATATATTTAAAATATATATATATATACATATACATGTATGTATTTTTTTGAAACCTTTGGCTGGGGCTGGGGCTCAGGGGCAAAGTGCTGGCCTTGAATGTGTGAGGCACTGTGTTCTTTCTCGAGAGAGACTAATAAATGTGTAATTTAAAATTGCATCATGATAATTGAAAGCATTCCCTGTAAAAACTGGAACAAGACAAGTATGCCCTCTTTCACCACTTCTATTTAACATAGTTCTTAAAATACTAGCCAGAGCAATAAGACAGATTAAAGAAATTAAAGGGATATGGATAGGAAAAGAACTCAAATTACCACTATTTGCCGACAATATGATTCTATACATAGAAGACCCAAAATTCCACCAGAAAACTTTTAGAACTAATAAATGAATTCAGCAAAGTAACAGGATATAAAATCAACACCCATAAATCAAAGGCATTTCTGCATATCAGTGACAAATCCTCTGAAAAAGAAACGAGGAAAACTACCCCATTTATAATAGCCTCAAAGAAAAATAAAATACTTGGGGATCAACTTAATGAAAGAAATGAAAGACTTGTACAATGAAAAGTACAGAATGCTAAAGAAAGAAATTAAAGAAGACCTTAGAAGATGGAAAGATCTCCCTTGTTCTTGAATAGGCAGAATTAATATTGTCAAAATGACCATACTAACAAAAGCACTATGCAGATTTAATGCAATTTCAATCAAAATCCCAATGACATTCCTCATGGAAAATGCAGTCACGAAATTCATCTGGAAAACTAATAAGAGAACCAGAATAGTTAAAGCAATCCTTATCAAGAAGAGTGAAGCAGGTGGCATCACTATACAAGACCTTAAACTATACTATAGAGCTAAAGTAGCAAAAATGGCATGGTATTGGCACCAAAATAAATGTGTAGACCAATGGTACAGAATAGAGGACACAGAAACAAACCTACGTAAATACACTATATCTTATATTAAACAAAAGCACCAAAAATATATTGGAGAAAAGATAGCCTCTTCAACAAATGGTGCTGGGAAAACTGAAAATCCATATGCAACAAAATGAAATTAAGCCCCTATCTCTCACCATGCACAAAACTCAAGGGGATCAAGGACCTAGGAATTAAACCAGAGACCCTACACCTAATAAAAGAAAACATAGGCCCAAATCTCCATCATGTTGGATTAGGCCCTGACTTTCTTAATAAGACTCCTACAGCTTAAGAATTAAAACCAAGAATCAATAAATGGGATGAATTCGAACTCAAAAGTATCTTCTCAGCAAAAGAAACAATGAATGTAGTGAATAGAATGCCTACAGAATAGGAGCAAGTTTTTACCACATGCACATCAGATAGAGCACTAATCTTTAGGATATATAAAGAACTCCAAAAAGTTAACACCATGGGGCTGGGGTTGGGGCTCAGCGGTAGTGCACTGCCTGACATGCATGAGGCACACTAGGATCGATTCTCAGCACCACATGTAAGTAAATAAATAAATAAATGTCTATCAACAACTTAAAATATAGATATATACTTAAAAAAATATATATATATATATATATATATATACATATGTGTATATATTTTTTAAATCTTGGGCTGGGACTGGGGCTCAGTGGCAGAGTGCTTGCCTTAGTTATACATATTGTCCATGTATAACTAAAAAATATTTTTTTAAAATTTTAACACCAAAAAAAACAAATAACCCAATCAATAAATGGGCCAAGGAAGTGGATAGACACTTCTCAGAAGATGATATACAATCAATCAACAAATATATGAAAAAATGTTCAACATCTCTAGCAATTAGAGCAATGCGAATTAAAACTACTCACTCCAGTCAGAATGGCAGCTATTAAGAATACAAACAACAGTAAGTGTTGGTAAGGATGTGGGGGAAAGGGCACACTTTTACATTGCTGGTGGGACTGCAAATTAGTGCAACCAGTCTAAAAAACATTATAAAGATTCCTTGGAAAACTGGGAATGGAACCACCATTTGACCCAGCTATCCCACTCCTAGATTATACCTAAAGGACTTAAAGATAGCACATTACAAGGACACAGCCACATCAATGTTCATAGCAGCACAATTCACAATAGCTAAATTGTGGATCCAACCTAGATGCCCTTCAGTAGATGAATGGATAGGGAAAATGTTGTAAATATACACAATGGAATATTACTCAGCCTTAAAAGAGAATAAAATCATGGCATTTGCAGGTAAAAGGATGGAGTTGGAGAATATAATGCTAAGTGAAGTAAGCCAATCCAAAAAAACCATACGCCAAAATGTCTTCTCTGATATAGCTGATTCATAATGGGATGGCTCGGGGGTGGGGAGCATGGAAGGAATAGATGAACTTTAGATAGGGCAAAGGAGAGGGAGAAGAATGGAAGTGGCATGGGGATAGAAAAGATGGTAGAATGAGACGGACATCATTACCCCCTAAGTACATGAATGAAAACACGAATGGTGTGATTCTACTTTCTGTACAATCAGAGACATGAAAAATTGTGCTCTTTTTGTGTAACATGAATTGCATTCTGCTGTCATATATAACAAATTAAATTTTTTTAAAAATTGCACCATGACAGAGCTGGGAGCACTGAGCACTATCTTTGGTACTACTCATTTTACTTGGCCTGTTTTGTCACCTATGAGACAAAGGGATTAGACTTTGTAAGATGAACATATATCTGTAGGGCAGGATGTCAAGCTGGGCCACTTGTCAAGTTCTTTTCTCCTCAGGCCCAGGCCCTCCCTATGACTATGATGAAGGGTACTGAAAGGGTGGACAACAAATGCTCAAACTGGCCAGAGCACTGAATAACCAATGCTGGGAGCCTGGAGCTTTGTTCTATTTCTCTTCCTGGCTGGATTTGAGCAGGTATGGAGGCCTAATTAGATCACTCTAGAGCTCCTACAACCTCTGGACAATTAAATTCTGTTAGCACTTTGCCAGGATTCTCCTCTACTAATTGTTCATTCTCACTTCATTGTAATGGCTGTGGAAGTGTTTGAATGGATTATTTCATCTGATCCTTACTTCCCTGTAAAATAGGTGGTAAAGTCCTTGTGAAGAAGCTATTAGCTGGAGAAAGGCATACTGCTAGAAAGTAGCAGATCTAAAACACATCTCCAAATCAATCCTTTGATAAGAAACCCAGTGCAAGGACTGGGGATGTGGCTTGGTGGCAAAGTGCTTACCTAGCATGTGCAAGGCCCTGAATTTAATCCCCAGCACCAAACATATATAAGAAACTCAGTGCATGTTCTACTGGCACAATATTTTAAAAAGAAAGAAACTCCCCAATTTTTCCTATCACACAGGAAAAAAAATCTAAGATTCATAATATACAGTGTTGATAAATGGAGAATTTCCTCTCCATCACAATTGGTAGAAACATAAATACAACTTTTTTAGAAGGAAATTTAGCAGAATCCATCAGTATTGACAAACTTTAAAATTCATGATCTAACAATTCCACATTAGAAATGTTTTATAAAAATACTAGCATAAATGTGTAAAGAAATTCAGACAAGGTTGTTCATTGAAACCTAATTGGCAATTAGGGGAAAAAAAGAAAAAGAATGTTTAAATAATTCCACAAACATTACTATAAAGACTAAAATGGCATACCATATAGGTTGAGCTACTGTGACCATTGAGTGACCAATGACAATCCAACCTTGAAAGATGAAGTTTAGTGTCAATAAATACTGGCTAATGGGCTGAGGTTGTGGCTCAGTGGTAGAGTGCTTACCTAGCACATGGGAGGCCCTGGGTTAGATCCTCATCACCACATAAAAATGAAGGTATTGTGTCCAACTACAACTAAAAAAATCAGTATTTAAAAAAAATAATGGTAGCTGGCAGAATAACTCAGTAGCATATGCCAAATAAAATAAATACTGGTAGTTTACAAAAAGCACGACATAAAAAACTACAGGACAATTCCATTTCAAAGCAGCTGAGCCTACCATGAAGACGCCATGAGCAAAGGTCTCCCTCCTGAGCTGAAAACATTTGTGGACAAGAGGTTATGGAAATTAAACAGTGGCAGACATGTCTAAGGAATTTTGCAGGGCTTTGATCCCTTTATGAATCTTATGACAGATGAATGTGTGGAAATGGCAACTAGTGGGCAACCTAATAATACCTAAATAGTCTAATTTGAGGAAATAAACATTATCAGCATGTTAGAAGCCTTGGAACAAGTATAATGACTTTCAGAAATGCATCTCCTCTCTCAAAGGGCCTGTTTATATGATGTAAAAATCAGGTCACTGGGGATGAAACCCAAGGCCTTGTACATGTTAAGCAAGTGCTCTATCACTGACCTACATTCCCAGCCCAGGTTGGATACTTTTGCTAGGAAGTGCATTACTGAGACAAGTGGCAAAATTTGAATGGGACCTTTGAACGGTGTATGGGAGTGTTTGGTGCTATTTTGGAGCTATTCATGCAACTTTTCTGTAAATTTGATTCTTTTTTTTTTTTTCAAGAAGATAGTGACTTCCAGCCATTCTCGTTTTAGTGCCTTAAATTTTTTCAATTGCAAAAGGAAAAGTTTTGTCTTCAGCAATTCAAACTGTACCAATCATTAAAAATTTAAATATTC